GGCTGGCATGTGGTGCTGGGGGATTGAACCACGGTCCCTGTGCTTTGCTAAGCTTGTTCTAAGTAGGTGCTTTAGACCACTGAGCCATCTCACCAGCCCTCCATCACTTTTCTTTTTTAATTTTTTATTCATTTTAATTAGAAAATACAATAACAATGAAACAGTTTCAAAACATGTTAGTAGACAGTTACAATAATTAGTACATTACATACCGTTGTCTTCACAGTGGTTATTCAGAGGACAAGATGCAGATATGCTATCTTATGTAAATATTAGTATAAACCTTTCTTCTCATTTAACTAAGTGAAAGTAGCTGCATACCTATCATATTTTGTATGTGCATATTTTTTAACTACAAAATTGTCCTTTATTTATATCCCCTTTTTTTGTTTTGTTTTATCAAAGATGGGTGTTCCATTGCTGTTAGAGAAGCTACATTTGCAGAAGTCTTTAAAGGATCTTTTCCTACTTGCTGCCAGTTCAAATATTGAAGATAGTTAAATTCAGAAAAATAGCCCAATATATTCCATCACTGTTCTTGGCTCGCCTGTTTGTTTATCTGTGTCTGCCTTAGTGTTTTTAATTTACCATTTCCTTTTTTGCAATTTAGAGACTATGTTTTCTATAGTATCTTCTATTTAATTTGTCAGTTTTGCTGCTATCTTTTGAGAGAGAGATTTTTGTGTCCAATTCCTTCTAGCTCTATGTTTTAGACTCATCTTAGGTGGACTGGGCATTTGGGATTGCATTTTGCTTCTTCCTGTTGTCATGTTATATTTTATATTTTATTGTGTTTTTATGTTAATGCTTTTAACTTTCTAATATTAGTCTTAATCATTGTGGTCAAGGCTTTCCTAAGAAGTGGTTTTTTATCCACTTGTCTCCATTTGGTGGTACCACTATCCAACAGCAATATAGTAAGGGAGGAGTGTGAATTTACATTCCTTTCATGGACACTGCCATCCCCACGCAATATCAAGAGTGCTAGGCACATACTTACACTTCTATCACTTTTATCACACTCCTGTGCACAATGCAGGAGGCACATGGTGTAGACTTACAATATTTCTGTCGACACTGCCAGCGCCATCCAGAGGACAATGGAGTAATCTCAGGGAATAGGTTTCTACTCTTTCTGCCAATTTCATCATCCTGGAGCAATGGCAGAGGCAAAGGATGTGGGCTCACATTCCTCTCACTGCTGCTACTATCACGATAACTGATATTGCCTTTTCTCTTATTCGTGTGTGTGTGTGTGTGTGTGTGTGTGTGTGTGTGTGTGTCTGTGTCTGTGTGTGTCTGTGTGTGTGTGTTGTGTGCTGTGTGTATTACGGATGATTGTTCTCAAGAATATTACAGCAAGTTACATTTCCACCTTTTTTAAAATTTTGAAGGGAGATCTTACTAAATCACCAAATTACCCATGCTTCACCTGAAACTTTAACCCTCCTATTCCAGTCTCTCACAGAGGGAGAATTATACACCTACTCTGTTGTGAATATCTGGCTGGGATCTTGCCATATGCGATGATTAGGGGGGACCTGGAAGACATTATTCCAAGTAAAATTAGCTGGATACAAAGACATACACTCCACAATGTCACTTATATATGGATTATAGGAGTCAAAATAATATAAATAGAGAGGAAAATGGTGATCACTGAAGGAGAGGTGGAGACATGTTGATCAAAAAATATAATATTTCAGTTATAACTCAACAAATTCTAGCCATCTACAGTACATAATGAGTGGTGATGTATGCTTAATTTCTAAATGTCATTACACAAGGTGTGCAATTATCTAATCATCACAGTGTACAATATTTGTCACAAAATTATTTCAAACTAAAATCATAATTATAAATAACATCTACTATAAATTTTATGTTCTTACAGTTTTGGATCTCAAGCACACAACATTGGGTTTCCTCCCAGTACCGAAGGAAAAAAAAAAATTGGGTTTCCTGAAAAGGTTTAATATTAATAAGAAAGCAAGTTTTTATATAATGTTTTTTTATTTTATTTTTTTTTCAACAAATAATACACTGCATATATTCTTCTTAGTGGTTAATTGCTGTACAAGATGCAGACTTGTGATCCTA